GCAACCAGTCTGGGCTGTAATCATCATGCATAGAATACTCTATCCAATCAGCCATATGTGACCCCCCATAGTATACTGAATCACCACAATGAGGACATTTTGAAAATTGAGTTATTGTTATTTTCACATTCTCAAACTCATTACCTTCAATTTGATGTATAGTTTGTTTGAATTGGCAAAAATTGACTGAGCTGTGTCCATTAGAAGCTACCCAACTCACAAAAGTAAGTTTTGAGAAAAAGCAAGTCAAAAGATTTGGTATGTTCCAAAACAAAATCCCATAGCAACCAGGCCATTTATCTGCTGTTTTGTCGCTGAATATTTCTTTCCTTGTTTTTTCAGGGGTGCTGAAGACGAAAATCGTAGTAAAAATTTGATTCGACTATTTCCTCAATTTATTTGCTATTTTGTCGTTTAATATGTTTTTTATTAAGGATTTCAAGGGTGCTGACGACGAAAATCGTAATAAATGCACCCCTTTCGTAACGAAACATCCACAACACATACGGCATAATATTCACATGATAGTGTTATACTGAAGAACAAACTATACTTTAGTAGTCTGTTGTGTATGTTATAACTTTGGTGAGATTAACTCAGTTAACTCAGTTAATCTCATCAATTAATTAGCACCTTAGTGCCAGCTAGTGGTCAGGAGATTAAGATTGTTGATTGGATAATCATCAAAGAAGCCGCCACAGCTGTACGCGTGTTCATTTAACACGTGAATTAAAATAAGATTTTGCGTGTACGATAGGTCTATTATTATTTTCAGGTACCGTGACGTTATCAAAATATGAGTCCCTATAGAAATGTCAATTTCATAGTCAAGAAATGCTTACGTTTACTTTCGTGCATTTGGCTTTGATGTAAATATCGAGCATTTCGGCTCGTTCTCATTTTTTCGACCCATACTGATAAGAGAATTTTAAACAATAATATCCCAGATGCATTCCTTACTTTGCATACCGTATGAAGAAGCGACAGTAAACGGAATTCAGCTATCAATAAAATTCTCTTCAAAAAGAAAATTATTGGCCATTTTGTTTATTTCCATTTAAGGCCTATAGATTATTTTTTTAAAGATGATATGAGATATCAAATAATCACCACTTGGATTAATTATTCGGAGTAAATAATGAGTTGTCGACGGCTTTATCATTGACTCGTGACAGCTGATTAGTAATAGTATTACTCAATGAGATCCACCCGCTTGTCGATTAATTTACATCATCAGCCACGTGGTTTCGATTAACACTCAACGGCAATCTATATACGATCAGAATTAAGTTACCCAAAAACATTATCGCCAAAACCAAATATTTATCGATAATGTCTTGCACGCGGTGTCTGGGCCAATCAGCAAACGAGTTGTGTAGACAGCATGGCAACAGGCGGAGTTTATTTATATTTTTGGGAGGTTTTAAAACTCGATTGTATCCGTTCAAAATCAATTCGACAATATTTTGATCATATTTGTAAACTAGAGATGCTCCGCTTTACAACGATGCCAATTATTATGATCATTATGCAAGAGGAATGACCGGTCGTCCAGCTGCGAGCGTAGAAAAATAATTAATTTAGCCGAGAATTTTAAGAAATAGGACAGATTTAAGAATACGGTACTCTTACAAAACGTTCAAATACAGGTGTTTTAAAATGTTTTATTGCTATTTTGATCTTTTGTGTCGATAGATCATATTGTGAAAATCTCAATTTCGATCAAAATCAATATTTTCACTTATTTTGTCTTTATCTCATTATTGATTCGTGGGCATTCCGACTCATTTAGCTGCGGCCGGTCACATATTTCCATTGTTATTTTCATTATTTTCAGGTCTATTATTTCGGACACCATCTACATTATCATCGTCATTTCTAGTTTGATTTGTCGTGTGTCGTGTCACACTTGTGCTCTGCTCACCTGCACCACGCCCATTTACGCTTATACCAATGGAATTACTACTAGGAACAAAACACGTTTCTTCGTTGGAATTTGTTGTCAATTGTTCTAAACATTCCGAGTCACTTTCAACTTCGTTATCGGAATCAAAATCGTCACATTCTGAGCCAGGATCTAAGAGAATAGTCCTCAAAGCTTCGTGGGTTGAAATAAGTCTACTCGATGCCATTGTTCGTTGATTCTTTTGTTCAAAATCTCTCAAATATATCGCTGAATTGAAAACAATTTTCCTCACACTAACAAAGAACTTCAACTTCTGCTACTTACAGTGTTGACATCAGTGTCTATTTTTAGTAACGTCTTTCACGCGCTGTAAAAAATGACGTCAACTGTACTAAACTATTTACATCAAATTTGTCGACAAAAGCCGCCTGCCGCAGCGACCCGTCTAGTCGACAAAAGTCGCCTGCAGCAGCGACAAAGTTAAATGCAACTTTATATATACTGAGCGCCATGGAAAACGCATCACTTAGTTTTTCGTATAACAAAATGATCCTGTAAACAGATCTTATTTATTTTGCTTCTTATTGTGAACAATATTCAAATGGGAACACATCAATAACAACACATTTGTACACTTATGGATGTTTAATCTGTAATCAATGGTACAAAATCAGAGGGGTCAAAACCAAAAGTACGACACAGATGTCAGTAGCGCGTGTGTCCTCCACGGGCTCTTACGCACGCTGTGCAGCGACGTCGCATGGAATTAACCAACGTTGAAAGAAGGCCGGTATGCGGACAAGCATTATCCTGTTGGAAGTGCTGAAGTTGTGGGTACGCTCGAAACATCAGAACAACAATTGGTTGCAAGACATCATCACGGTAGGCTACAGCATTAATGCGACCCCTGCAAATGTGTAGGGCGGTCCAGTGATGAAATGTGAAGCCTCCCCACACCATTACACTTCCCCCACCCCATCGATTTGTTTTGAGGACGCAGCAGTCTGCAAGACGTTCCCCAAGACGTCTCCACACACGTTGACGGCCATCAGCGTGATAAAGATGAAAGCGACTCTCATCACTGAAGAGCACACTTTGCCAGTCTACTCTTCTCCATGTCTGGTGTCCTTGAGTCCATATCAAACTTCGCTGACGGTGATGATCCCTGAGGATAGCTCCAACATAAGGTCATCGTGCACGGAGTCCTACTTCTCTTAGACGACGTCTTACGGTGTTGGCACTTACTGGTCCTTGTCTTCCGACGACTGCTGCACCTGTTTGAGTCGCTGGGCGGAATCTGTCACACAGATGAGTGACCCGGATGTAGCGGTCTTAAGCCTGGGTTGTAACGCATTGTGGACCAGGACGTTGACGGTCACGTGTTGATCCAGTAACTCGAACGTGTTCCACCAACCTTACAATAGTGGACTGGTGACAATTGAAGTGTCTGGCAATAGCACGTGTAGACATGCCAGCCCGGGACATTCCCATGGCTTCATTCCGTTGATTTTCAGTTCATGTACTGCACATTACGTTGAAAACATGCTTTTAAAGGGCTCACACACAATGCTGCACGTGAATATTGGGTTTTTCATGTGCATCTCGTGCAATTTTTTTTTGTCCACACGGGCCGATATTTTTTGCGTTTGGGAGCATTGTGTGAAACAATAGTTCATAGTATTGCATAATATTATACATACAAAACCACCTAGTAATAAACTATTTGGGAAAAAAAGTGATGCGTTTTCCATGGCGCTCAGTATATATGGTACGCAATACAAAAGACACATAAGAGAAACGTAGATCGTAGCAAGCACATACGCCTATCTAAAGACCTGTCTTTAAGTATACAAAGACCTACGTAAAAAACATGGTCAAATGATAAATCACAGGGTAAAACACTTTTACTTTCCAAATTTTGATTTAACACGTACATGTCAGATAAAGCCTGTTGGTCCTTGATTATACCCCTTTTGGTGCAGTTATTGCAACTAGAGATAAAATACGCCAAATAAACAATACACAACATTGACATTCATTTTTTACCGGTCGGTTAATTAACCCACCTCTACAGAAAACGCACTGTCGCACAGTTTTTCACCCCTAGCCTTAATTAACTCACCTCTCAGACAGTTTTTCACCCGTGTTAATTAACACACCTTATTTACAATTTTAACACAGTAATACCGAATAATAGTCGGAAAATTAATTTTCTTTCGACACACGTACAAAGAACAAAGGCAACAAAGAATTATATAAGGGCTGTGCACAGATTGATCCCTTAGCAGTTCTCATCTTACCGCGCCAATATACGCGATATATATAATTCCCACTTGTTTATATTATTTTAAACAACACAGTCAAATGGGTTGGGAGCCTTAGAGTCTATGCAAATAAGCATTTTATATTGGCAATTCTTTAGCCGTCTCTCTGTTCATCATTAAACAGAAGCAGTTGCTCCGGTGATACAGCACTGCACAGGTCCATCCGAGATCCCTTTTGTGCTTCAGTCAATCAAATCATTTAGAATGCTGATATGTAGGTAGAAATGTACAACTATACCAAGTATGAACATTCTAGCTCAATTATAAAGAGAGAGAGAGAGAGAGAGAGAGAGAGAGAGAGAGAGATGCAGGGTTTAACGTCCACTCGGCACAAACCAGGTCATTTCGGGACTAACATATGCTAACCATTCGGCCATCCAAACCCCCAGCTCAATTATAAAGCAGTTACTGTCTTCCAAAAGGTGTGATGAACGAAACCTATTTTACTAAGTCCCCTGCTTTCTTCAAAAGGTGGGGTACAATTAAAGAGAAAGTGATATGGCATAACATCCTTTGTTCTCACTTTAAGCAAACCACAGCTATTTTTGAAAGACTTTTCATTTTACAAGTGCCTATGAATATAACGCAAAGAAGATTTTTTAAGAAAGGTGAATAAGTCTGAAAATCCATACAGGTAGAGATGGACAACACATATCAATTGAGAAATATATGGATGGATTATTGTAGCCTCTATTGTGAATACAAAGTACGACCACGTTAAAATGTGTGCAAATAAAAATGTCAAAATAATAAATTTGAAATGTACGAACCTTTGGACTTTGGATAAACAACTTTAATGTGTTTCTGTTGACCATTGTCCACATCTATTGTTGAACTTTCTAGAGCAGGAAAATGATCTCTTATTGCAAGATGAATCCGTGTTCTTTCTTCCTTACTATCTTCAACCTATAATTAGTTAATAAATAAATTAGTATTTTTAACACTAGGGACTGGTTATCGTCCAGACTTTACGAAAAAAGGAAAGAAACTAAGCTTATCGTCAAGAATTTAATACATGTATCCAGCTAATAGATTGCCGTCAAGAATGTGTTAAATGGCGTCAAGATTCACCAAAAAACGCCCAGTTTGTGCTACCGTGTAGATTAAGAAACACCGTTTAATTTCGATATCCAGTTTCTCGGGATATTTTTTAGAAATAAACACTACCATTTAGATTTGAAAGGGGTTCAGTTTTTAGACAAGGTGTTTATTTTCCCGGACGTTGTCAAGAAATGAACAGAGTGTTTAATTATTTAAGGCGTTTAGATATTATGCCAAATTACCACTTTACCGAGAGCCGTCTAGTAACTTACTTTTAATGTCTTGTAATTAGTTTGCCCAGTGTCATCTAGAAACTTAAGGCGTTTGTTTTTGTGTGAAATATTTAATTTCTGTCTCCCAATTTTAGAAACTATGTTCAGATTTAGAATCTGTGTATAGTGTCTAAAATTCTCGAATGAATTGCATATTTGTTGAATATTGTCCATTCTTTGGTATTGCCGACGTCCGTTGGGAAAAGTTGATTTACAATGAATTGACAATTTTCCCGGCGTAGATAAAACTCACATTTTATTTATTAGAAAATAACAAAACAATGGACGTATATCTTGTTACTTATAATCTTGCTTTCTGGGTTATTTACCCGCTTCCGCAATTAAAATTAACAACGACTAATTAAGTGTTTGGAAATAAGTGCTTTACTTGCAAATTAATATAACAATACAATATTACATTCAAGCACAATCTCAACATAAAAATAAAACAGACTATCAAAACAACAAACAAGAAAAGAAATTTTTTTCGGTTTTAGCGGGCGGGAAAAGCCGGAAGTGTGCTTGTGGCGAATAAAGTAACTCAGAAACCGAAGAGCGTCGAATTAATTAATTGCAATGACGAGTTGCCTCCCATTGCACACAATTAACAACGACTAATTAAGTGTTTGGAAATAAGTGCTTTACTTGCAAATTAATATACTATTAAAAAAAAGTAGGGGATATTTGATTTTTAAGGGTTATTAAAGTCACCTAATGAAACTGACGAAGAAACAAATGACAAAATGAAATGAAGTTCACATTCATCGATTTATTCCAAATGATCGTTAGACTAAGTAAGGCACAGACTGACCATTATAAGGGTAAAATGATACCTGGGGTCAAACAGCAAAGTTACCACAGCATCACAACCAAGTCAGTAACGGGTAAATCCTCCTCTGTTTGCCAAACAAGCATTGATCCGACGTGGCATACTCCTAATGAGACGTCTAAGGTCATTTTGGTCCAGATTGTCCCATTCCTGTTGCAACGCAGCAGCAAGTTCTTGGACATTGGCAGGACGTTGTTGACGTTGACGTAACCTCTGTCCAAGCATGTCCCAGACATGCTCGATGGGGGAGAGGTTGGGACTCAGTGCTGGCCAAGGTAATGTGGTGATGTTCTGTTGTTGGAGGTAACCTGTAACGATCCTGGCCCTGTGACATCTTGCGTTGTCATCCTGGAAGATGAAACGGCGGCCATGACGTCGTGCGAACGGCACAACATGGACTGCCAAGATGTTGTCCCGGTAGTACTGGCCTGTAACACGCCCTGCAACAACATGTAAAGCCGTTCTTCCAGCAACAGTGATGCCTCCCCACACCATAACAGAACCACCCCCAAATCGATCATGTCTGATGACGTTAACGTCTTGGAAGCGCTCGTTTCGACCACGCCACACCCTCCTACGTCTGTCCAAAAAATCAACAGTGAACCTTGACTCATCTGAAAACATCACATTGCTCCAGCGTCGATTATCCCAGTGTTGACGATCCCTACACCAACGACGTCTTGCCTGAATGTGATGATCTCTCAAACAAGGGATCACGCGAGGACGTCGGGCGCGAAGGTGACCCCTATGCAGTCGATTCCGAATCGTCTGGCCACTCACTCTCACACCAGTGTCTGTTTGAAGACGAGCGCTGATCTGATTTGCTGTGATGACACGATTTCTCAAGGCCAAGGTACGGATAAATCGATCCTGGGCTTGAGTTGTCGCCCTTGGTCGACCTGAGCGTGGTCTGTCCTGTACAGATTGTGTATCACGGTATCTGGACCATAGCCTGCTTATGACAGACTGAGAAACATTCATCGTCCGCGCCACAACCGCCTGTGTTGTGCCGATCTGTAGCATGCCAAGGGCACGTAACCTTTCATTTTGGGTAAGCCGACGCATATCAAAATTTGTTTTCTGGTCACTAAAACAATTAAACTGATGTTTCCACCCTGGAATTCAATGCCACAATGACTGTAACATTCAAAGTCAGAGTCGTGCAAATCTTGGGTTGGACCCCCATGATGATCCCAAGCATCACCTGCATTCCATGCGGTAGCTATTGGTGCGTTTGGGCGTCACATGTAACTGGAAATGTTTCTTCTGTTAGGTTCTATAGTGACTTTTTTCGTAGTCATTTGCATATTTTAGTATTATGCCCCCAAAATCAAATATCCCCTACTTTTTTTGAATAGTATATAACAATACAATATTACATTCAAGCACAATCTCCATACGAAGTCGCCAAACACTAATTAAATAAAATTAAAAGAGAGAAAAAAATGAATACAAACAAAACAAAAGCCTAGCGGGCGCAAACACAACAAATAATTACAAAGTGGATAAATGAGAATTCATGGTGGAAGTGACATCATACATATCATGTAATTTTGATAGCAATCACTACGCCAATCACCATGATGCTTAAGTAAAACTTCTGACAAGCCAGCCTTAGAAGCAAGAGTCGCACCACCATGTCGCAAAGAATGAAAGGTGTACAAATTTAAATCTAATCCAACCATGAGCAAAATTTCTTGAAAACGTTTAAGTAAAACAGGCTTTGACAAAGGCACTAACAAACCAGCCTTTGGAACAGAAAAGAGGGGATCCGACTGGCCTGCCGGAATCGAAGTGTCATGTGCAGAAATGCTCGACGGGGACACAATTTAGAAACTACAGATCTACTTATAGAAAGTTTATGGCGAGTCTTAGACCAAACAATTTTAACTAAAAGACCAAAATCAGTTACCTGAACACAACCTCTAGTTAATTGCTCATTAGGATTAAAGGAGGAGGTCGATCGACTCAAAAGATTCGAAGCCCTTAACATACCAAAAAACGCCAGGGTCAGGAATGACCACAATCATGCATCTATATAATCATACAAATCTAACAATGCAATCATTTGTAATAGGTGTTCAGGTAATAAAGGAAGCTTAGACACTGGTACATGAATATTTAAATGACTCAAACCACGAATAGTGAGATTAAATTCGGTAGAATTAAAACTACCACAATCAAAATTAAACAAAGAATGCCAAGTTTTGAGACCTGATAAATAATTCTTAATTGATGATATGCTCTTTAGAATGTGAGATAAAAAACAAGCATATGCACTTAACAATAATGTAAACAAAACAAAAAGTGCGCTCTTAATTGTGATCTCAAATTAGCATATGTCCCAGGTCTAAAGGCAGCTTTCTTCACCACCTTTACTTCTAATTTCAATAATTTACGACGGGAACTTAAACCTACTTAATTAGAACTAAATAAAAACAACATCAGTAAACATTGAAGGTGAAATATACCGCTCAGAAAACACATGTGGAAAAGTTAAAATGTCATTATAAAACATTTGTGAAAAGTTATCAGAAACCGACCAACGGGAGAGGCAGTCAGAAAGTCTGTTGTCTCCTGAAATGACATAATCAACACGAATTTGTAAGTTATTATTGGCACAAATAAACCAAATTTGACGAGCCAGTTCCAATAAAGTTGCATCCCGGCCAGAACCATTGTTCAGAATATGCATACAAGCGTGATTGTCACACAAAATTCTCACACTTTTGTTAGCCAATTGAGGAGCCCATAATTTAAGAGCAATGAAAATAGAGTACATTTCAAGAGCGCTGATGTGCAATTCTGACAATGATTCTGGCACAACACAATGAAAATACTCATGACAATGGAAACAAATTCCACCTAAACCAGATAAGGAGGCATCAGTCGAAAAAGCAGTGTCAGGTTCATACCATTGAATTTCAGGAATAAGAGAAATTCCATTATATTCGCGTAAAAAAGCAATCCACCAATTAATGTCTTTCTGAAAGTTCTCTGATAATCGGAGGCGATAGTGTTTATGGTTATGGCCGCTATGCAATAGCACTAACATTCTTGTAATAAATAAACGTTCGCTTCTAACACATTCGGCCACAAAGGAGAGTTTTCCAATAAGTTGTTGTAGAGCACACAGAGAACACCGCTTCCTATTCCGAAAACTCATTAGCAATTCCAAAGTTTCAGAAATCTTAATTTCCGGTATACAAACAGTAAGATCTACAGTATTGTATTCCTTCCCTAAAAAGGTTAGCATACTGGAAGGGGAAAAACACTTATCACCATTAATGTGTAATCCTAGATCTCCCAAAAGTTCCAACATAGTAAAATAATCAGAGGGAACTACAAAGTGGGTCACTCACACCACCAAAATCATCCACATAATTTACCACATAAATACTCTGATTCCATAACATATATGAAACAGCATTAGTAGTTCTCTGGCACGCCTGAGAAGAGGAACGCATTCCAAATACTAAACGGCTATCAACATAAAACCCCAAACAAGCCTTGCGAGTGTAAGTCATTCGGGTCAAGACTAAGCTGGCGGAAGGCTCTAGATAAATCGCACTTCCAAAGATGGCAACCGCTTCCAAATTGATGTATGAGGGCAATAAATTCTTCATGCCCAGGATATTTTAGCTTAAAAGGTTCATCCAGGAAAAGCTCCAAAGGAATTCCACTGTTAATAGACAATTCATCTCCATATGAGCAGTCCACAATAACCCTCCTATCAAAGTCACCCTTTGGCACAGTAAATAAAG